GTTTTCAGTGCTTGGTTTAATAATTCAGTATCTGCATGTGTATCACAGCTAATACAGCTATAATATAACTCAGTTGTCACATTATAACTCTACCAAGGTTAAGAGACTTTATAAAAAGCTTCATGTTTGTCATCTGCAGGGTGTGGAGAGCTCTCTGAAAGCTTTAAGGTGTGACATTCCTCTGCTTTCTCTGTAAAGTGATAGGCATTTGGGCCTAACGTTTCATCCCCATTTGCAACACAATCCACAGTCCACTAACTCCGTCAGAGGTGTTGATGGCCTCGGCATGTCACGTCTTCTCCACGTCTTCCCCCTTTGTCTCCTGCTTTGGAGAGAAATTCAAACTTTACAAAGAAAGATGATACACGAATACTCAGCAATGGCCCAGTGCTGTGATTTTTAAAGTGTGCTTTATCTATTTGGGCTTTAGATTTAGCCAAATGCTGAACAATAATGCCTGTAGATTTATTACTTAATTCAGTTATCAGGGGTCAACTACAATAAACCTGAATCAATAAGCTGGAGCATTTAAAAATGAAGTAACACAAGTCTAGAATAGATTATGTTACAATCTGGATTTAACAAAAGTTATTACTTAAAATGTATATACTATATACAGTCATATACAAAAGGTATCAAATTTGAAAATGTTAACATATTGAGTCTAACATATTGAAAAAAAGAAAACATACACAGTGTGCCATAACTTATGCACAGGCCACATTTTACATTCCGTTTGTTTCAGCAATGTGTTAAATGTGTTCTCTGAACGTTTTTGTACTTAGAATTAAATTTTTGCATACAACTGTATCTTTTACATGGTCTAATGATATTCAGCTATTGCCTAGCACTGTTAACAAGCATTTACAAAAGAAAAGACCAAGTATATGAAATGATCTTTAATAATGTGTAAAATAACCTTCAAATTGTTGTTTTTTCATGTATGAGTAAATAACTCATTTTAACATTTTAAGATCACTGAAATTCCAATAGAAACCCAGCAGAAAGTAACTCCAACACAGCCCAAGATTATGACAGTTTCTAAACAACGCTTGTAAATGTAAACAAAAATGATCTAAATAATTTTTGCAGTGTCCAGTGAGGTTCACCTATGGCCTGGTGTTGTTAAAGGGTTTTTCTTGGCATAGTTAAATGGTTAGGATGTAAACAGAGTCATTCAGAGAGGTTTATTATAGAAAATCTTACTGAGTCAGAATTGTTCACAGTGGTGGTGATAGGAACCAGACATCCACCTCTAAAAGCTCCTTCACAGAAAGTTATTAAAAGAAATGGTTATACATGCTTCACTTGATGCCTGAAAGTTTGTTTTATGATAGTTTTAAGATAGAAGATTGCAGATTATTTAATTGTTCAATGCAGAGAGGTACATGCAGGCTGTTGTAAGGAAAAATAGTCCCCAAAGAAAACCTATTTTTAGATTTATCACTATTTTGCCATCATCAACATTACACATAAAACCATGTTTACTGGACATTTTGGATAACAATTAAATGTATATATTTGTGCTGTACTCATGGTGACCCCTGGTTCCTATTACCACCACTGTAAAGAAATCTGAGTCCCTACATTTTACCATTTCACATCAAACCACTCTGAATTACTTTGCCTACATCTCAACCACTAAATTATGCAGAAATTTTGAAAAAGTGATGGAATTGTCCATGCATAAAAGGACAGACTCGGTGTAAGAAGTGAGCAGTAACTGTAATACTGTGCAAATGAACTGGCAGTAACCTGGAGGTAACCTGTTTGCTATTGCTATTGGACACAATACCAAGTTATGGTGTTATCTACCAACACTGGTGAATCTAAACAGACGAGTTCAAACAAAAAGTCTAAATCATTTTAAAGGGTCAGATGATGTTCATCTATGACCCACTGCTGGCAACCTATAGAAGTGCCATTGTTAACAGTTACCACAATAAAAGGACAACAGTAAAATCATGGTATAAGGGTCTAACAACCATAGATACTATATAAGACAGAAAAAGCAATGGCAGAATCATTGTTAAATATATTATAAACATATGTGCCATAAGGTACTATGGCATAGTATACTATACTGTGCAAATAAACTGGCATATTGTTCATTTGCTATCACTATCAGAGGCAAAAACAGTTTATGATATCATCTGAATCTCACTAGCGGTTCTAAATGAACTTTAACTTAAATAATTTTCACACTGTTTGATGAGATTGACCTATGGCCTAGTGCTTTTGACATCCATTCACAAAAGAGATTAGCTGACATTGCGTGACTTAACCAGCTTTTTACTCGCCTTAATATTTTAACTTCTCTGAAATGATAATAATGAGTGACTCCAACTCAAACAGTTGATCTGAACAACGCTGGCGAATATAAATGGGCTTTTAGTTATAATACACAAAAAAGTCTACCATGTCTGATGACGTTCACCTAGGGTCCACTGCTAACAATCAATGGGAGTGGCATTGATAAGAGTGATATATTACTACAATAAAAGTATGACAGTAAAATCATAGTAGGTTAAGAGTATAACAACCACAGTTGTTACCCATATCACAGTAAAGCCATAGCAGAATCACAGATAAATGCGCTCTATAGTAGCTCATAGTAGAATCATTGTTGACTACAGTAGCCTTAGTTACCATGAACCACTACAGTCAAATCTGACCACAGTCAGTTTTCACATGGGTGAATATTCATACTCAAAGTAAGAGAGGCAGGATATCAGTACATGAGGTGAGATGTAATACTGTGCACATGGTTTGTTGCCTTTTTTGAGTTTGTCAAAATTCCAATAATAATTGACTCCAACACAAACTTGTGTTATGACGTGATCGGAATAATGAAGTTAGGGGAAAAGCAAAGGAGGGAAAAGCTGAATCATTTTCAGTGTATGGAGTCTGATGATGTTCACCTATGGCTCACAGCTAGTAAACTATGAGAGTGGTTGGTACCAAGAAGTCAACATAATAAAAGCACAATAGTAAAATCATGGTAGGTTAAAAGTACAACAACCACAGATACCATAAAATAGCACAGTAACGCCATAGCAGAATCATAAATGTGCTGTAAACATAGCTAACATTATGCACTGTAAGTAGTTCATGGTAGAATCATTGTTAATGATAAAACAGCCATAGTTAAAATGAACTAGCATAGTAAAACTGTAGTGAATTTTCGTATGGGTGAATATCCACACACACACACACACACACACAAATAAGTATATAAGTATATCAGATTAGCAATAATAAATGATTCCAACACAAACCAATTGTATGATAGGATCTTAACTACTTCAATGAAGAACTCCAAGTGAGAGGAAAAGCAATAAAACAAAAAGGCTGAATCATTTTCAATTCAGCAAACTATGGGAGTGTCATTAGGAGTGTAAGAATAGTATGACAGTGAAGTCATGGGATGTTCAAAGTATAACAGCCACACTTATCATAAGATACCATAGCAGAAACATAGTTAAATGTCCTATAAATATAGATACTATAAGGAACTATAGTATGGTATGCAATATTATGCATCTTTTTTGAGTTCACTGAAATTTCCAGCGATAAGTGACTACAACACACAATATTATATAACATATAATATATGAACAATATTAGTAAATTTGAAAGTGAGTTCACTACTAGCAACCTACAGTAGTACCACTGTTAGAGTATAATGGCAGATGGCATGGACATGGAAGTAGCCTAGTAAAATATGTTATAAACCTAAGTTTTACCATGGTATATGTTATAAAGGTTCCAGTATTATCCACACAATAACCATAGTTGCAAGTGAATATGAACTCATGAACTCATAAAGCTGAATATCCACACTGAAAAGAAGAACTATATGAGGTAATCAAATTGCTTTTGGTATAATTCTGTGGCCTGGTCCTGTAAAAGGCACTCGCAAAAGAAAAGGCATATGGTATAAAAAATTAGCTGTGCAGCTTAACTGTCTTTTGTTCGCCTTAACATTTTGACCTCACTTAAATTATAATAATAAGTGAGTCCAACACAGTTATTACAATTTGGGGAATATGAATGGGCTTTAAAAGTTAGAACACACAGAAATTCATAGCTACTAGTGAATTTTCAACAACCACAAGCAAAAGAACAGAACTGTGTATATGATATTGTGCAAATGAAGTGGTCTTTTGTGTGCAAGCCCCCATAAGGCAGGCTGCTTACCATATCCCCGCCCTGCCTTGCTCTGGCCCATGAGGAAGCCTCTTTAAAATGCCCTGAGAGGCCTTTAAGCAGCCAGGCAGGCAGCAGCCTTCACTCCCTGCACATAGGGCTCGTTGGGTTCACCAAACTGGGACTGCTTTCGCGACACTGCTTATTTCGAAAAAGGTAATTTTCATTTCAAATGAAAAATCTTCCTCATATTTTTGCTCTCTCTCTCTCTGTGCTCGGGCCTGTTCTCCCTTCCCTGATTCCAGTGCATGAAGGCATTTTAAACCAAAAGCTTGGGAGACTATTGCTTGCATTATTTATTAGTATTTATTTCAGTATCAGTGAGACTTGGCTGATAAAGCAGGTTTCATGCTGCACTATTCATTGTAAATTCAGCAGCAGTAAGTTGGTGCATTATTGCTGAGCAGTGCTATCTAGCTTAGCATGGACCCATGCTTTATTGTTCAGGGGAACATGCTGCTTGCTGGGAAATTTTGTGTCGATTTTAAATCATCCGACTCGACTTTAGCGTTATTTAAGCTGATATCAGGCTTGTTTGTCGATTTTGCATTCATGCTGTCTGGGTTATGGTGATTTGGATTGAGCTGTTTTGTTGTGTTGTGTGTCCACACGAAGCTTCTTATTCGCCAGCTTCTTGTTCGAATTTTCCCGTTCCACCTTAAATGGTGCAGCAGTTACATTCTGGCGCCCGAGCCGCCAGAGTGTAATTGCTGCACCATTTAAGGTGGAACGGGGAAATTCGTATAGGAAGCCAACTTTGAGCCTCGTGTGCGCCACCGTGCTTGGCGCTAAATAAAAAAAGGCGCCAATACATGCTTACTTGCCTATGCATTGCCCCTTTTAAAATGCATGCTTTCTGGTGCATGTCTCTTGTTTGTCTGGTCTTGCTGGTGCATGCTTCTTTCCTGTGCATGTTGTGCTTTTGCAACTATGTGTTTTCCATTGCGTGTTCCGCCTTCGAGTTCTTGGAGCTCCTGGGCATCCGTAGAAAACTGCTCCTGTAGCTTTTCGTGCGCCCAGCTATCACACTTCACTCACACACTCACTCAGAGCGAAGTTGCAAGCCGAGGTATTTAAATTCTGCACTTGCACCGCGCGAGCTTTGCGCCCTGATACACAGTCCGCCCGTAGCGCGTGCGTTTGGGGGGACTGCACTAGCGCCGGGAGCTCTCTGGGTTTGGGCCCTCTTTGCATGCTGTAAACAACCGGAACGCCGGTAGAGAAACGAGCTGCCCTGGCTAACTAAAGCCACAGGAGTGTCTGCTGCTCACTTAAAAACCAGATGGTTCTTCAAGGGCTCATTAGTAAAGGCTGTGGCTCTGTTTAGAACCATTTGCGTGCTTAAATGCATGCTTTGCATGGTGAAATGGTTCCTCAGATTGATGGAGAACGTGTTGTATGTGTCCTATATAGCACCACAAATGGTTCTCGTACTGTGATGTGTCAAGCTCATAACCCTTTTGGTGCTGTATAGAACCATCTATATAGAACCACAAACACATTCTCCATCAAGCTGAAGAACCATTTTACTGTGCAAAGACTTTTTTAAGCATGAAATGTTTCTATATACAAACATTGCTTCTGCTAAAGCACACTTAAAGAACCTTCTTTTTTACGTGTGTGATTTTAGTAGGCAGGTCATTTTTATAGCTTTTAATTTTATTGGATGCCTTTTTATATTGCACACACTTTTACTCTAATTGATATGTATTTTTTGTTTGTTTTTTGTTTTTATTTGTTTTATTTTATCCTTAAGCAAGACAACATGAGCGACACTGCCAAGGACACCGTGACTCCTAAAGATAAGGATGGGGCAGAGAAAAGAGGCCGTGGAAGACCAAGGAAACACCCACAGGTACAGTGCTTGTGGTTCTACTTGTTGCTAGTTAAAGGGGGATTTCACCAAATTTTCAAAATTTCTGAATTATTCAGTTGTTGATGTAAATAGTCATTCAGTGTGGTTTGGTGTGAAATGGTTGATTTGTAAAGACTAATGTCTTTACAGTGGTGGGGTCACCATGACAACACAAATATAGCCGTTTTATTTATTTATATATCCAAAACCACCAGTGAACCTATATGTCTTCTGAGTTTTATATGGGGTGTTGATGATGGTAAAATAGTAGTTAATCTGCAAAAAAAAAAAAAGATTTCTTTGAGGAGTTTTTGCCTCACAACCACCTGTGTACCTCTCCACCGTAAATTATTAAAATAAGGATGGTCAAAATAAATGGGTGAAAACACACATACAAAGACATCATGCAGCATATATCAAACCATTTCATGTAATAACCTTCGGTAAGGGGGCTTTTAAAAGTGGACATCTGGTTCCTATCACCACCACTGTGAACAGTTCTTACTTGATGTTTTTCTAGAACAGAGCATTTCACACAAACACCCTGAATGACTTTGTTTACATCTCAAGCATGTAATTAGATTATTTATTTATTTATTTATTTATTTATTTATTTATTGATTGATTGGATAAATCAGCTCCCCGTTAAAAGGTGTAGAGCCCTTAGCATAGTCTTCATATGCATGAAATAATCCTGCTCTGTGTCTTTTTCTTTAAAATAATGTACTTGATTAGTTCATGAAGGGAACAAAACTGGGGCTGAGAAATAGTATGACTCATTTCCCTTGAGGCACTGATGAGTTGTACGGATAGTGATGGGACCTGTATGCTTTCAGGCAGTTATAAAATATGATAAATGTGTTAACCAATGTAAGGCCTCTAGCAACTAATGCATGCCTTTTTTATGTGAGTCTAGGAGTTTTACTGCTTTTTCAATACACACAGATGAAAGAATCAAAGGGAGTTACAAAGGAGTGTTATGAAAAATCTGAGTGTAAATGGGTTAATGCATTATGAAATCAGCTTGTGTATTTAATTGTAGTATGCATATAGTGAAGATACTTAATAGTCTGTACAAAGTGGCTTTATCACATGCATCCACCCGTAGGTGAACTCTCAATCTCCATTAAGACTCTCTATGCTTTTGTCTGTTATGTATGGATTAGTAGGTCATTTGCGTGCTTGAGTGCTCATTGAGGTTACGATTGAGGCTAAGGTCTAACCAAAAGTACGCAAACATTGTAGTGTGTGTGTGCTATTGTTTGGACCAGTTGTCATAGGTTACCATTTATGTACAGATAAAAACAGATGCTGGGTTTTCTGACGTGTTCCAGACATTGTACCTGTTCCTTTTCTAACCCATCCTACATGCACTGATGCTCCTCCAGCCCATGAAGGTGTAATTTGGCCTGGCAGTTTGACTGAAGTCAGTAACATGAGAGCTTTAAACCAGCAATAACCCACTTAACTCCAGCTCAGCTCCTCTGGGATTGGTTGAGGGGTAGCAGTGAGCGCTGTGGTTGGCTCATTGATCTGTCATTCACTGGAGCTAAAGCTGGCGCTGGATTAGTGGGTTAATACCCACTACTATAATCGGAGCCTATAGATAATAAAAGCCCACAGCACCAGCCCTCATCAGGAAGTTTTAATCATCTTTGTGGTTAAATCCCACCCAAAGTGGAGTTTCTGTTAACACTAGAAGATGGTAGACTTCATTTTGGCTTCGGACAGTGTGTAAGTTCATTCATGGTTAACAGACACCAAGTACATTTAAAGTGATGGATCTTTAGTAAAGAAAATGGATCTATATAGAACCATGAACACTTAAAGAACCCTTTGCATGATCAAAGGGATCTTCAGATTGATGGGGAATATGCTGTAGATGGTTCTATATAGCACAAGCTTGTAACAATAGAAGAACGCTTTTTGGTGCTATATAGAAGCCTTTTCAAAAAGCACATTCTCTCTTTCATGATGCACGGGTTCTTTGACTGTTCATGGTTCTATGTAGAACCATTATCTTTATGGTAACATTTTTTTTTTTTTTAAATTTATAATTAAATAATTTATATTAGATAACAATACTTGAGTACATAATGTTACTATATATACATGTCTCTCTCTCTCTCTCTATCGTTTTTATTTATATATATATATATATATATATATATATGTATATATATATATATGTATGTATATATATATGTGTGTGTGTGTATATATATGTATATGTATGTATATATATATATATATATATATATATGTATATATATATATGTATATGTACATGCATACACAATCTAATTGGTCCCTTTTTTGGCACACATGCCACATTTATTATCTCTTAATTGGCATCTCTTTCTTCTGTCCCTGTGTAAACAAGATGCGCCATGTTGTTCAGATGACGCATACGCCCATCTAACCACATGAGACAGAAGGTGTAAATAAACAAAGCGCGGTGGCACGCATCGTATATCTGCACACGTCAGCAGCAGATTATTTTAACAGAACTGCATCAAAAACAGTCACTACTCATCATCGCATGGAAACACTGAGGTGTCTCCCAAGCATGCAAATTTAGCCATGACGGCTAACCACAGCACTGGACTCTTAACCCAGTGACACATCGAGTGGGGGAGGGGTGCAGTAGTAAACACCTTCAGCTAATTTCTCACGCTCGCCAGAAGGGTGTGGGTTCCTGACTTAAACTTTAAAGGGCCCATATCCCACTCTTCTCTTTAATTTTACTTTTAGTCTAACAACTCTTTACTAGTTACCTTCAAATGTGCTGTTTTTGTTACTGTGCCTTTCATTTTATATAAATGAGCTCTGCTTTGATGGGCTGTCCTATGTTGTACCCAATTCAGAAAGCATTGTGGGCTGAAACTCTCCTAACTTCAGCATAAATAGGTGAGGATAAACTGCTTTTAGGCCTGAACAGATGGATATATGTAAATGTTTGTTTTTGTGAAATGTCTAATAAATTGGCTTCCTTACAATACCTGTTGTGAATTGAACTGATAGCATGTATGTATGGTGCAGGTAATGCTGCTAGTTATCTTTTAAAGAGTCCCAGAGATGCAAAAGGAGGTTTGTTCAAACATGTCTGGCCCTAAATGGAAAATTCAATTGACTCATACAGTTTTGTTAGTGAGATTATACAGTCTACTGTAAAAGCGGAAGGAGAGGTCTGAGCATGAAGGATTTTTAGAGGGGCTGCGCCAAATTGATGTTTCTCACAATGAGTTTGTGCCTTAATAATAGCTGTTATTATAACTACTAGGCATACAAAATCTCAGTGCATGTTTGTACAGTGTCAGTAGATGTTAGTTATCCAGCTGAGCCTGTTAGACAACAGTTGGTACCTGCAGTTTTAGTGGTGAAAAACTTTAAAGGGCCCATGAACAGTTTTGGCCAAATATATAATTGCGAGTTTTTTTGTTCTGGCCAGTATTGCCATTACGATTTAAATTGTGAATGTTTTAAGCTGATGATGTTTTGGCCCCCTTGTTTGTGGCCAAGAAGGGCAGCGTATCCTTTTCTTTTTTTTTTTCTCCCTTTTCTTTTCGGCTTAAGGCTTGAAGTCCTGACGCAGTGCACCATCCTGCCAGTTATTTGTGGTTGTGATGTCACAGCACACGGATGTTTGGTTGCTTCTGATTTGTCGAATTCATTTAAAAGCAGTTCACAAGCCCTATGTGATTAGGTTAAATTTCAATCAACTCTCACACTTAAACGTGGTTCTTCAAGGAGTCTTTAGTAGAGAAAGCTTGAGAGCGTGATGATGGAAGAACCCTTTGTGGTGCTTTATAGAACCCTTTTTAAGAAGGTTGTATATAGAACCATACAGTGCATTCTCCATCAATTTGAAGAACCCTTTTCACCATGCAAGGAAGCAGTTAATCATGCAAAGGATTCTTTTGAATATGGCACGACGGAGAACAGTCAGAACAGAGCTCATTTACACTTTGAAGTGTTAAAGGCACAGTAAGAAACAGCTTGTTCAATTCTAGGTAATACAGAGAGGATAGAAAATAGAAAAATCATCAAAAATTAATTATGAAAAGAACTTTTGTGGAAGGGGGAATGATAAAATACAAGAGAATTGTAGGATATGGGCCCTTTAATGTTATGTAACAAAGCACCCAATGGCATGCAGTGTGTGCACACAATGGCACAACCTGTGGAGCTCCACTAAAAGTAGGAAAGTTTGTGGTATTTTAATATTAGTTTTGTTTTCGTGGGGCCTCTGAGCCCATTCTAAGCAAGACTTTTGCTTGTAAGTTAGTGCATGTCCTTGAGTGTGCGTTTTGTTTATATATACACATTGCTAAAATTTTCTCCATACACACATCCATCTGGCTTTTCCAGGAAAAACATGCATACTATTGTATTTACATTGAGCATGAATTTCCAAACGGAAGTATGGCCAGCAGCTGCTGCACAATGGAGCTCTCTGTGATTAAACCAAAACCCCCCACTCTGTTCATCTGTGATAAACACGTATTCATCTATAGCTCTTCTGTACATGTGTTAGACTTTTGCATAATTAAATCCGTCCCCTTTAAGTTTCCCTGGCGAATTTCTCTCAGTATGTTCCAGAGTCGTAGTTTTGAGAAAGGTCATAAATGTAAGATCTTTTGGTTGTGATTATTCCAATTAGGTGCAAATTCAGTATTTAGATTTTATAGCTGATGGAGAATTTTCAGTTCTCATTGTTTGAAAGATACAGTACAAGATTTACTCCCGTACATTCTTTAAAAAAAATGGTTCCTTAAGGGTTCTTTTAATATAGAAATTTATATAACTAGAGTTCTATATAGAACCGTTTGCGTTCTTAAATTTTTTTTCTCATGGTGAAATGCTTCTTCAGATTAATGGAGAATGTGTTCTATATAGAACCTTTTTGGGAATGGCTTCTGTAATGCACCAAAAAGGGTTCTTCCATTGTTACAAGCTTGACATAGTAACTATAGCAGAACCCTGTTTGGTGCTATATAGCAGCACTTCCCCATGCAAAGAATCATTTAAGCATGCAAATTGTTCTATATAGAACTGTTAATATAGAAATTCATATTACTAAAGAACCTTTGAGGAACCGTCTCCACTCTGACATTCTTGTTCAAAAGCATAAATAATTCAGTTATATCAAAGTTAAGTATTTTAATGTGTTTACCAAAAAGTTTTAGCATAAAATCGTTAGTTGGCCTCTGATAAGAGGGTCAAATTTAGCTCAGCGTTCACCTCCTGTATGTTGCATTATTTGAATGGTGTCGCTTTCATGTAATGGGATGCTATGGTTTTCACAGTAAGCTTGTTTTTCAGAGGGTCAAATTAAATACTGTAGGTCACGATGTTTTATTTATTGTGGTATTTCAGTGTCCCTGCACTGAATTCCATGTTAATTGTTAAAAAATAATTACTGTGACCAATAATATCAGCTGATATAATACAATTTTTTGCACATATGAACAGACTTGAGTAGTTACAGTTGTTTAGTAACTAATAGATTCAGTGGTGCTTTGCTAACTGATTTGGTTTGGTTTGTTGTTGCTTTGTTAATGATTGTTGGCTTGGTGCTTTTCTAGCTTCATAATTCAGCTTGATTCAGCGATGCGTCACCAACTGATGGATCACTTGGGTTTGAGGTGCTTTGCTAACTGATGATTCAGTTTGATTCAGTGGTGCTTTGCTAGCTGATATGAATCACTATGATTTGGCCATGCTTGGCTAACTGCTATGATTCGGTTTGGTTCAGAGATGCTTCACTAACTGATACGGCTCGCTTAGGTTCAGTGGTGCTTTGCTAACGGATGGTTTCTGTTTGATTCAGTGGGGCTTTGCTAACGGCTATAATTTGGTTTGATTCGGCTGTGCTTCACTAATTGATATTGCTCACTTGGGTTCGGTGGTGCTTTGCTAGCTGACATGGCTGTTTGATTTGGCAGTGCTTTGCTAGTTGCTATGATTTTGGTTTGATTCAGGGGTGCTTTACCAGTTGATATGATTTCGGTTTTCTCCACTTTCATCGTTTAATATAGCACTTTGGGGCTGGGGTTCGATTCCCTGAAGAACACTTCACTACACCTGTGAGCGTCCTTGGGCAAGACTCCTAACTCCTTTGGTTATCGCTGTAATCTGACTACTGTGCTGAATAGGTTTCTGCCAAATGCCCTAAATGCAAATGTTGTCAATTGACATTTCTCTGCTCAAACAGCAGAAATAATGTAGACATAACAAACATTATAATTTATATAAACATTATAACATTATATAATTATAATAAGCAGTTCTTAGTTTCTGATTTAATTCTCTGCACTTATTTATTTTTAAGTTACCGTATAATCCTCTTGCTAAAGAGTAGGTTAGTGTTTTTTCCTGTTTGTTATTGTATTGCTGCAGTAGAAATGAATGGGTAATGAGAGCTTAGCAGTCTTTATAGCCAAGGTTGCGATTTTAATCACACTGATGAAGCATCTGAACGGCTCTTCCTCTCGTTGCCCCCTATGAACTGTGGTCTGAATCAGCCTCTGGTTTCCTCCCGACGTGCCTGATGCACTTAAAGGAATTTGGCAACCAATAGCTATGTGCCACCTGTTAGTCTTAAAGTAGCAACCGGTGTCAGTTGCACTGACCTTGAACAGGGCTTTCTTTGTGTTGCAACAAAGTCTTCCTCTTAAGAGATTGCATAGAGCAGCGCACAGTTGACTCCTGAACCTGGGCAGAAAACACGCTTGCAGTATGTTGCTTTGTGATTGCTTACTGCTGTCAGCAGAACAGGGCGGCATGGTTCACTCATTCATTCATTCTTTACTATCTCACTGCGAGAGAAGTTGCTTTGCAGACATGGTGCAAGGGTGTACCAATTTCAATGCAGCAGGGATGCAAATTTTGGCAAATTCTTCTGTCTGATAACTGTCATTAGTTGGTTAATCGTTAATCAACTCTGGCTTTGATGCCTTTCCTTCAGCATTTCACATAATGTGCTGCATAGTCAAACAGCACTAATACTGCTGACTGTATCTGTGTGTTCAGTGTATTGTCAATCACGACAGTAGAATTGTAACCTACCTTTTGGTGTCAAATCAAATTGGAGTTTGTGTGTGTGTGTGTGTGTGTGTGTGTGTGTGTGTGTGTGTGTGTGTGTGTGTTTTTTTTTATTTATTTATATATTTTTAAAAAACGTAATATTAAAAACCTCACTCCTACTTGCCAGACAGATGGATTGAAATCATCCAAAATGCCTTTGACTAGAATCTGCTTACATTGAGATTTAGGAATGTGTTCCTGTCTCCTCTGAAGTTACGTTTTCAAGATGCAAGGATTTCTACGATATGTCGTCTGACCGGTACTAGCGTGAAGTTCTGACAACACACATCAAAAAATCACACCAAAAAAATCCAGTCTGTGGAAATGTGAAACTATAGACATGCGTATTTACAGTTTTTGATGGAAACTGTCAGTGGGCATCAAAGTGTGTCCTATCAGAGTAAGGAGGGAGGGGCCTTTATCATGGACACACCCATGCATTTTCTTTGGTTACTGAAGTTGCTTAAAATATGCTGTGTGTGTCTGCTGCACTATTTTTGGGGCTTACTAATCATTATAAAAAAAAAAACAAAACTTTAAACAGTATTGAGTTTGAAAATGCATGAAAATGCTGAATGAATCTAATGGCAATTAGATATGTTCCCCAAATCGTTCAACACGCGTGCCTTGCTGTGAGTTGCCCTGTACAGCCTGAAAATCATTTAAAAGTCAGAACTACATGCTAACTTTACATGCAAGAATGTCTGGCTTGATGTTTAGATCTCAAATGCTACATACATAGAAGATATGACGCCAATTGTAGATATTGACAGTATTAAGTGGGCTAACAGATTTGGACCCTTCAAGCAAACTACTTGATGTAGCAACACAGTCTGTCTTCTCTACCTCAGTACTGTTACGCCTTCTGCGCTGCTATTTTGATTTGGCTTTATGTAAGAAGTACAAAAGTACCAGCATACACACTGATACCTTCCGTGAGCAAAATTGCATCAAACCGATATCTGCAGGTATGTGGGTTTGGGTACTGAGAATCACTACTGGAACTCTGTGAATGTGTTGCTGAAGTCTTCCTCAGACATTAGCTGAAATGACGGTTTGCGTGCCTCTACATCGTGGTGTTAACCGCATGTTTTCAGTGGCTGTGTGAGATGTGTATTCAGTGCAGTGCTTTGAGGCTTCTGATCATAAACAGAATGTCAAACCGCAGACCTTGTTTAATGACAGAATCGAGATGTTTCAGATCATTTGTAATCATGTTAATTCAGATTAACACACAAAAACAATAGTAGCAGACGCATCTTGAAGCCTGAAGTGTTAGTGTCACCAAATGAGCAAGACTATTAGACACACATCGTTTGAAGCAAGTGTGATTACTTGTGTTAATTGGTGGGGCACTGGCTTCCATTACTTGTAGGCTACATTAGCCTTAAGTTGCTCAGTCCTGTGCAGTGCTGAGATCTCTCCATGGATAAATGTATGTTGTAATTCACCTCCGTCTCTGTCCTTCAGGAGCCGAGTGGATCCCCCACACCGAAGAGACCGAGAGGAAGACCAAAGGGCAGCAAAAACAAGGCCGGCTCTACAGCACCCAAGGGCAAAGTAAGTGTGTGTACATTTTCAGGATTAAAAAAATATCAGTAAAAGAAGGGGAAATAGGGCTGACCTGCAGCAAGGTTTCCAATCCTAGTTCTTGAGGCCTGCTGTTCTGCCCTGCTCTAGGGGTTATTAATGAGCTGATTGTAGGATCAGGTGTGTTGGGAGCAGGAAAAACACAATTAGAGCAGTGGGTCTCCAGGACCAGGGTTGGGAAACACTGCTGACCCACAGGACTAACAAAATGCTACTGTGCAAAGCCATTTCTATTTGCTTGCTGAGGTTCAGGTCAGGTTTGGGATTAAGCTAAGAAGAGCCTTAACGCTTGTAGATTCTTGCATATAAAGCATACGGTGTGTGTGTGTATATATAGATGTAATGCAGGGGTGTATATATTTTGCTGCTGTTGGAACAAAACCTTGAATTTCCAAAATGATGACAGCAGAAGGGGAAAACATACTTTATTTTTAGTGTAAATTAATGGCACCAGACTTTTTCCGAGTATATTTTGGCCACTTCTGTTGGTCCATTCTTCATGAAATTTGCATACAATGTTAAAGGCAACAGGTATTTTCAAATTATGTCAAACTGCAAAACAACAAAAATGTAGACACAGGGTTTTGTTCTGACATATGTCACATTTGCATTTTACACAATATAGACACACATGCAAGTGCTTGTGTAATAATCCCCACGATTATGTAGTAATAATAAATCCCATTTGTCATGCATGTGTAAGAACCTGTAAGGTAGGGGTGTGTGTGTGTGTGTGTGTGTGTGTGTGTGTGTGTTTATGTATATTGTATGTTTTTGCTTGTACAAACATCATATATCATTGGAATAAATCCAAAGAAATGCAATCCAAAAGAAATAGTTGTCTTAAAAGAGAGTTTGAAGAACAAAGTTTGTGTTCCAGGTTTCTCCTGGGCCCCCAGCCATCACATGGATTTATTAAATACTGTCACTAGCACCCTGGAATTAATCAATACTTTATAATGATAGACAAACAAGGCATTGGATGATGACTACAAATAATGCCAGGCTGCCATGAGAACAGACCACTACTTAATGTGTTAATGTTATTTGTATTTAATCTAATGTGAGTTTTTCTGAGCAAATCAATGGTTACTGACCACATACAGCTAGTATATAAATTATTTATACTAGTAATAAAGCTAATAATGTCACATTATACATATGGGGACAATTGTGGCCCTGCGTCCTGACATTGTATGACAACTGTGAGCAAAAATTGCATCATCCAAATTAAAACATGTTCATCACAAGCGCTGTAGAAAGAAAGGCGTGTCTATGATGTCAAGGATAACATTCCTAATCTTTTTCTTACTCAGCACGGTTTAAAAGTTAAGCTTTTAAATCTAAAGCTGATTGAACGTTCATCTCTAAACGAGCTGTTTGAGTCGTGCTGTGCCGCTTGGCTAGTTTGAGATGCAGAGTGCCTTCCTCTGTTTTTGACTGATTTATGGCTGCGCTATTATTCTGTAACGCTCAGGAAAACCACTTGAAGAGCCGTCAGAGCCTCCTTTTTCGGCTTTCTGTACCGAAAGCCTACGAATGAAACCAAAAACTGGTTGATTCCTCCTTCACTTCCTGTCTTGCTGTAGCTTCCTGTGGCATGCAGTGTGATGCAGGTGCACCTGATAAGTGCCGTCTCTACGACAACGCCACCCAAACCTACCGACCACACGCACCCGCACATGCACGCATATGGTGCTTTCCTTTCCATCTGCTGTTGTCATGACGACAGCTGACCCCCTTCCCTTCCCTACACAATGCACATGTACACCCATCCCTGGTATTAATGCTCCGTGTGCGCCTGCTCGCTGCTGCCAGCTGTCTCTGAGCTTCAAACCAGGTGGCCAATGAACTGGAGTGGCCTGTGTGCAGTTCATGTCCGTTTCCAACATAATAGCCAATGAACCCACTGCCCTCTGGCCATCTGCCAGTGTTCACTCATAGCCCCCTCTAGTGGACATTTTACTGTGTTTTCCTTTGTTTTTGTGCATTTTCAGTACAGAGATCCCCTGATTTTTTTTATTTATTATTTTTTTTTATTCCCCCATATTCATGAGGCTAAGATTAAGTTTAGGCTTATAATATCTATATCTGTATATATCTATATATGCATAATACATATCGTCACTGTCCAAAGAAAAACGGGTATCTCCAAAATAGTTACAGGAGAAGACAAAAACACTCCTACCTTTCAGTGTAAGTTAATGTAAAGAGCTTTTATTCCAAGTGACTTTAGAACATTTTTCTATTGGTCCATTCATCATGAAATTTTCAAAAGACCTAAAGGACAGCAGGTGTGTTGAAATAATGTAGAAAAATAACAATCAACAAAAATGGAGATTTATTTGCAGACCTAGGGAAAAAGTCAGTGCAGAGAATGCGGTTTAGCTGTAGGGAGACTTTATTGTAATGTAGGACTATTAGTGGTTGTCTGTTTGCAGTTTAATTAGAGTAATTAGATTAATTGGTGCAAATAAACACTCCCAGTAATTGGAGTAAACAGGAGTGTTCACTGCAGTTTTTTTTTTTTCATGTGTGTTTTACTGCAGAGAGAATTTGAATACATGGTGAATTCGTTCTGATCCAGAGGAAGTTCTCACTGTATTCTGTTGGCTCATGTGTTTCTTGTTTCTCTCTGTTTCAGAAAGCAGCTGCTGCGACAGCGTCTGCAGGGGGAAAGCGCAGAGGACGACCTAAGAAAGCAGTTAGTATAGAACTCTATTACTGACGGTCTCAGTGTTCACTGCACTTCAGTACACTGAACTCTGAGTGAACGTTCACTCTGCTCTGAGGTTTCTTCTGCAGTTACCTGGGGAGTGTTCTCCCTCTGATCGTTCACCTGTCCTCTGTATATCGTGTGTGTGTGTGTGTGTGTGTGTGTGTGTGTGTGTGAGTGAGTGAGTGAGAGAATGTGGAGGGTCGTTGCCAGGGGCAACAACAACCGAAAACATTTGCATTTGGCTTCTAATCAGAACAGGGATTTCATGAGGTTGTGTGTGGGGTGTGTGTTTTCTTTCCTCTCTCTCTCTCTCTCTCACCCTTTGTGTCTCTCTTGCCCCTCTTTCTTCTCTCTCTCATCTGTTTCTCTCTCCTCTCGCCCCTCTTTCCCCCTCTCTTGTCTGTCCTCTCCCATGTCCCCTTTTCTTCCCCCTCTTCTCTCTCGTCTTTTGATCTCTTGTCCCCCTTTCCTTTCTCATGTATCTCTCTCTCTCGTCTCTTTATCTTCCCCTCTCATCTCTTTCGTCCCTCTTCCCCTATTTCGTCTCATCCCTTTCTCTGCGTCTGTGTCTCTCTCACTGTTTTATCTGCCTGCCTTTCTCTTGCCCTTCCACACTCTCCCCCCATGTTTCTCTTTCCATTTTTTTTTATCCCCTCTCTGTTCTCCACCCCCTTCGGTCTTTTTTCTCCTTTATGCACACTTCCTTGCTCATCATTACCGTTATTCATGCTTCATTTAAGAAGAAACAACTTTTAAAATCTTTTTCTTTTTGTTTTCTTACATTTTATTCTTGTTTCACTCTGCAAGTGAGGTTGCCAGATCCCCCAACCAAATCCTCCTCCCTCCTCAGCTCACCCTTTTGTCACAAGTTTCTTTTCTTCTCCGTGCATTCCTCTCACATGAGGCACAGCTCTGGCACAGTGTTTTGGTTCTTTTCCATGTTAAAATATTTAAACGTGCCCCCAGAAGTTCTGCAGGCCTGAGTCACGCGCGGCCACTCTCATTATCCTGCCCACAAGTTTGATAAACATTTCCTTTGAACGGTTATTTCATGGAGTGACTGTTGCTGATTCATAAATGCGGGTGCACAGCAACTGTAGCTGCAGAGCACCAATTGGAGTTCAGGCTTTAAATTAAGGTAGAGATTTAGCTTAGGGAGGGTCAATATGGCGAAAATATCACTGCTTCACCATAATTTAAATGCGTCACCTAGTTTTTGAGAGGTTTTACAAAGTTGGAATGGGCAAAATGCATCCGTGAAACAGCAGTGACATTTAAAGGGCCCATGTTCAACATTTTTCCTCTGTTATAGTTGTATTTCTGCTTATTTCTAACAATTTTGTGCCATTCACTTTTATTTTAGCGTTTAGAATTTAACAAAAGCTTTTTTTTACGTATGCCTTTTGAGATGGATATATGTAGATAAGCGTTGTTGTGATTGGCTGCCCTGTAATAATCCAGGCTGGGGCACTCCTTATAACTTCAGCATGCAGGGGTGGGGCTAACCTGCTGCCGCCTCACAAAGAGTCGATTCAGAACGGGATGTTTTGTTTTGCAGCTTATTTTTCATATCTGGACTGAATGGAATGTTTTGAAACTTAAGTGTTTTACATACATCATTAAAACCTTTTAAAAACTATTTAAAACTATTTAAAAACATAAAAAAAGGTTTGCCAAAAGTAAACTCTTAGAAAGAACTGAAGAAAAAATTTGGTACTGTATACTGTTTGTTGTTGTCAAGCTGCAGTTCTTCAGCGTACTAGATCAGGGGTCTGCTGCCCTGTTGCGGCTCCACAGCAGAATTTGATTTGTAGCTAAGAAATAAAATAATCCTCCTTTGCAGTAAAATAAAGCTCTGCTGATCATTATGACACAGTTTTAACAATAAATGGTCTTAAATGCTGAAGTTAATGTATATCTGCTAATTTATCCTTTAACCCTGAAGATCAGAGCGCAGTCTGCTGGTCACCATAGCAACACAGACAACAGTCTCGCTTAGCTAATAGCTAACAAAAATTTGGAGATGAAGACTTGTTTGCACTTATTGCTCCAGCTGGTTTCCTGATACCTTTAATCTGCAGCGAGAAACTGGCAGACTTACTCACAAGGCTGAAGTTGCTTCTCATTCGCCAGCTGCTTGTTAGAATTAAATGGTTCAGTAGTTATATTCTGAAGCTTTAGACACTGTTTAAGGTGGAACGGGAAAATTCAAGAAAATCTGGTGAAATAAGAAGCTGACTTCAGCCTCGAAAGAATAGAAGAAACTGTTTTACTATTGCAGAAAAGTTTCCTGCTGGAGATGTGAGAAAAGCGGCTATGCTTTAAGCTTTAGCTCAGCCAGAGCAAAGTAAGTGTTTTATGTTGTGTTTTTTTAGCCTATACTAGGACATTAGCACATATGGAGTCATATTTACAGCCAAATGCGCATAAAATAATGTGGCTCCTAAAGTGGTTTGATTTTTGTTGCAAGGACAGAATGGTTCTTTTTAACATTTGGGTTGCTAAACCCTGCTCTAGAAGTAAATAATTTCTCACGATAACGGTAACGCATCGTCATATTGCGCAGCCCTAAAAGTAGTGGTGGGTGTCCTTATACGTTTGAGCTGCTGACCCAGTTGTGCCTGCAGAAACTGAACTTTGAAAAACTGTACTACTTGTTTTGAGGATATTACTCATGTGGTCTCATGTGAGTGTTTCCACTCCGCTGTTTTCATTGAGAAAATATTTACATTTGCCAGATTTCCCTCAATGACTCCAGAATGAGTCAGTTATCCAGAGAACAGGCCGTTTGCTTTTTATGAATGAGAGAAAAATGAGGGAGGGGTTGAACTCTAGTGAGTCAGTCAGTAAATACTAACTCGATGAGTCAGTGGCTGATTGATTCAGTGAGTCAGTTTTTGTAGACAGCTGCTCACCCACTCATTTTAAAGTGGACAGGTGATAGCGTTTTATTTATTTATTTATATATTTTCCCTATTGTAGCATGGAAAACCCCTCCTGAGACTGAATGAAGCCTGTTTTTACAGTGGGCTCCTGAACACAGTAACCAAATACATATAAATTGGTTAAAAAAAAATGGAATACAAATAAGCAGGGAAGTCTTATTATAACCTTTGAAGTTTGTGACATGAATTCAACATTTATGTTAAGTGTTTAAGGCTTATATCCCACTGGTGAGCTTGGTGCTAACTGCATGCTAAACTTGATTTGTCATTGTTGAAGGGGAATTTGGTGTGGTGAGCTGTACACCCCATCACCAGCCCCGAAACATTCTGGAGACTTTTAGTACAACCATCAGGAGTTGTGATGTTGAGTGGACACTTGAATGATATAAAAGGTTTATAAAAGGTTGCTTACCTGTATTCCTTTGATGAGCGTCCTTTAAGGGATGCTGGCGAGAGCAGGGCCTCCTCTTATCCCATTTGGACGGATCCACTGACGCAGGGAGGAGGGGTCAGCTCTCGTACAGGTCCCGGAACGAAAAGAAAAACACGGTTAAAGTGATCATGACCGTTATATACGCAATGTTTGTATATACTGTCATGGGTTGCAACCAGGTGTATGCTATGTTGTTATTGTGCAGTATGTGTTGAGTGTGTGTTGGCTATGTACCCCGGGGTTGGGGTTTGGTGTAGGCTGGGGCGGGGCTTAGGGTACAGCCTCATGGCTGTTGCTCCAATTTTATTTTTAAAATAGGGTATATATATTATTGCTTTTTGTTCAGTGTTTGTTCGTGTCCCATCGATTAAAAGTCAGTTCTTGCACCTACTTGGAGTCATCCCGTTAGTATGTGCCGACCCACCCACACAGGCCTTGATCACAAAGCTCACTTAAAGCAGCAGTCCTCCATCCGGGGGTATCGCAGTCTAATGGAATTCCAGCCAAAACTATTATTTACACGTTGTGTAATATTCTGTTGAATTCACAATTTTAGCATCTTTTTTGTTTTCATCAATCAGCTTTCCCTGATAGCCTGTAATAGCCTACGGTGGGGTCACTTTTAAAAGCATTAAATGCTTCAGACGTCTAGTTCCTATCACCACCACTGTGAACAATTCTGAGTCGCTAAGTTTCTCTACAATGGAGATTTTCATAACAAACCGCTCTGAATGACTTTTCTACATATTTAAGCTGTTAAAGAGCAATGTTGAAAAATTTGGTGGAGTTCCCCTTTAAAAACTATTTAAACTGCTACTGACTTAAAAACAAGTTTTTACTTTTCAAAGTATGAATTATGAATATTTGTTCCTTCTCTCTTTCAGGAGAAAGAAGAGCAGCCATCTAAGTCTTCTGAGGAAGAGGAAGAGGAGGAGGAAGAGGAGGAGAAGTAATTTTAGTTTTTCAGCGCTACCTCATAATTTCAATATTGTAACTTCCCGTCAACCAGAGCTGGACTGAACCACCCCTCCCCCCTACCCCAGCAACAAACAAACAAACAAACAAACAAACAGCAAAACAAACCAGTGCCACTCTCCCCCCGCCAGCACCACCGCCTCCACCTCTACGCTCTGGTGCCCCCTGGTGACAGGGAGGCCTGCACACTACATTGCATTTTTTTTTTTTCTGTAACACCACTGGAAACAAAAACAAACAAAAATGGACTTTCAGAATACTGTATGTGTGTATGTACGTCTGTTCATACATGCATGTGTGCGTGCTTGTATGTATAAATGCTCCATATATTTGGATATTTGGTTGCAAATGTCTGTCATTATACTGGACAAAGATATGCTCTGATAGTCGTCTTAAGTGTTGGACAGAAGCAAGTACAGGGCTTGTGACTTATTTGCTTTTAAAAGAAGCAAATTTCGCTTCATTCTTTCTGAGGTTCACATTGTGTACTGGACAAAGGTGAATCAACCTACTTTCCCCCTCTGTGTGTGTGTGTGTGTGTGTGGTGGGAGGGGGGGTCGTATCTCTGCACCTCCGTCTGTCTTTTTGAGCTAAATGCTGGCGGAAGCGCTAGATATAAACTTGTGTGTATGTTAGCATTAAAGATTTTACTCTGACATAATTAGCCATATCATTTAAAATCATGTTGTTTGACCCCCTTTAACTGTTCATTGCCCCCAGTTAACACACCTAACCTCCAGTTTTTTTTCCCCCTCTCTGGATCAGAGAAGTTTATCTGCTGATAACGTTTTGCGAATGTTTGAAACAGGAAACTGTTAAAGGGCAATTCCACCAATTTTTTAGAATTTCAGCATAATTCATTCAGTCAAGTTGATTTCTTTACAGTGGTGGTGATAGGAACCAGGGGTCGTGATGTCTACAACACAAATATAGCCATTTTATTTGCTATCTAAAACTGAGTTTTTATGTGTAATGATGGTAAAATAGTGGTAAATCTGAAAAAACAAATCATGTGCTCTACATGTACCTCAGCCATGAATGGATTTTAAAAGTATGTTTTAGGCCAAAACCTTTTCAGAACTAACGTCTCAGACATCAGGCAGTGCATCCATCGCCATTTTATGTAATGACTTTTGAGGGAAGTTTTAGAGACATTAAAAACGTAAGATGTCGGTTTCCTATCACCACCATAATGGTGAACATTTCTGCCTCTGCACTCTTAAAGATGGTGCTTTAAAAGTTCTTTAGCGAAGAAAATGGGTCAGTATAGAACAATGAACACTCAAAGAACCCTTTGCATGATTACATGATTCTTTATCATAAATGGGTTCTTCAGACTAGAGGAGGATGTGCTGTAGATGGTTCTATATAGCACCCAGAAGTTGTCCTTCTATTGTTAAGGTGTCAGGCTTGTAACAGTAGAAGAATATATAGAACCCTTTTCATAGAGGTTCTGTATAGAACTGTCTGTATAGAACTGCCAAACCCTTTATTTATGCGAAGGGTTTCTTGAGTTTTCATGGTTCTACATAGAACCGTTTACTAAAGAACCCTTAAAGCCTTTTAAAAGAGAGTAAAATGGAGCGTTTCACATCCAACAACTCTGACTGGCTGCTCTTAAGGATTTAATTGTGCAGAAATTTTGAATAATTGGTGGGATTTCACCTTTTCAGAGTGTATACAGCTGTTTGTTTTTAAATTTAAAGACGTTTGTGGCCAGGAGGTGGTGCTTTACTATCTGTTCCCCTCCAGAAATCGCACAGATTTAAAAATGTACATTTTTGTCTAGTTCAAACCTGAGCTATCTGCCGCTATGAAATGAAAAAATACTGCAAGCATTAATAAAACAGAATGATGCCGGTAGTTTACCCCATGACTTTATACACGACTGGGGTGGACTGGTTAGTGATTTGCAGGTTTTAGAAAATGTTGGACCATTCCATTCATGTTTTTTTCCCCCTTCAGTAACCTGATTGTCCACAAGATGACGCCATTCAGATACAGTGTCTTAGTACTGCTATTATTCAGCCTGGTTTCTGAAATGTTAAGGTTTTGTTTTCTGGTAGTGCTTTTGGTGAAGGTTTTTTTTTTTTCCCCCCAATGATTTTCTTTGGAATATATATATATATATTTTATTTTGTGGTTTTGGTTTTTGTGTTTTTTTTTAAACTCTGAGTCAGGGAACACAGATCGGTCCAGTGACTGACTTTCTCAGATTTTAATGCTGCTACGAACACGGTTAATAAAACCCGGAATACTGCAACCTGGCCTGTCCTCCTCTAGGACGCGGCCTTCACACCTCATACCTCACTTTATGGCAGTTTATGATGGCTTACTTAAAAGTACTAAAAAAATAAAAATCGAATGACATTCAAACCGGTCTCAGTGCAGCCTTTGGCAAGAGTGTGAGCAAACTGTTTTCTTCTTTTTGTTTTTTGTTTTTGTCCTTTCTTTTCGTCTTTCCAAGTGCAGTGTCCACTTCGGTTCTGTCTTGAGTCTTAGTTCGGTTCTCTGTTTGTGTGACTAACAAAGTAGTGCTGTTTTTTGTTTTCTGATTAGTGAGTTTTTCTAACAGTGTGCACATGCCGGTGCACAGCAAATGATTATTTTTCTCTTTTTTTGAATCGTGGGAATTTAGACGCGCCACAGGAACGACTGCATTGGGTTAGAGAGGAAATACTGTCAGCTTTTCTTGCAAAACTGTTCACCCACTGTGGTATGTGTGTCTGAGTGTTTGTGTGCGTGTATATATACATACATATATACATACACATTTATATAATAGAGCTGCACCGATACTGTGATTGTGTAGTAATTGAATCTTTTGGGAAAGTTGTTCACTGTCCCGTGTAAGAGTAGTGACCAAATTGACACACAGCGTAACATCCCCACGCAGGAAATTACATAGAACTGTCCTGAAATTGTTTTTAATCAGTTTTTGGCGCTCCTAAAGCGAGTTTTGTTGTCAGCATCATGCTCATTGTGGGGAAATTGGAGCTAAGCTAGTTTTCTCTAAGAGGAAAAAATTAATTCCATTTCCAAAAATCACTGCTGTTGTGCTCTGTGGTAAATGGAAAAGCAGTTTTTAAACATTTTTGCTCCGATCTTTGCTGTGTCTTCTGAGTTACAAGGCTGAAATGCGACTGCTGCTACATATGAGGTAATGCTGCTGTGCAATGAACTGCCATCAAGAGGCTGACCTCACCAAAATACCCAGCAAGCTTTGTTAAATGTGGTAGCTGAGTTGCTTTGGCAGTTTTTTAGGCTGCAGTTTGAGTAGCCGTTGTATGTTTATAACAGTGTTGAAGATTAATAAGACTTACTTCCATGCAGCATCATTGCAGTGTTAGCTTGTTTGTAGCATGTACATATTATTTGTGCGCAATTCGGAGGATCCACTGACACTGGTGAAGAAACCTAAACAGGACAAAACGGATCAAGTTTGGAACATTGTTGTTCACCACAACACACAGTAGCGGCATTTTTCCAAAACGCCATTCATTTTTCCCCATACGGACATTTTATACCCAGAGTTGCTTATATGGGCATGACACGACTGCATAATGACGCATGACCTTGGAGAGCTATTATTACCTAAAACAAAATGCAAAACTAACCCAGTATCGGTGCATCCCCTAGTCTAGTTTGGTTTTAATTTTGTATACATTCTTGTTTGGTGCACTAAATTGTAATCATGGTTTGTTTTGCAGGCTCATTTTTACCAAATAATTAGCTTTTTGCCCTTAACTCCGGATCCTCATTTACACTTTGTGGTACTAAAAACTTTCAAATTTGATTATCGATATTTTCAGCCCCCCGGAATATGGATTATCTGCTTTTTGTTTGTTTATTCTTTCTTTTTTTGTGCCTGCACACATGGAAATGGTTTGGGATCAGTCTTTTTCAATGTACAAACTCTGTATTTTTTATTGTGGCCTGCAAAAATTTGTATTCAGACTGGTAATAAAGTAAACTATTCATTTTCACTATTCGTTTTGGCTTTGATGTGGTGCTTTGCATTAAATGTTTGCTCATCCTTTGCATTTTTTTACTGTAGTATGAAATTAGGCACAAGCCATCCATCATTCATTCAATTTCCAGTCAAAATGTTGAACTAATATTTTTCAGCAGTGGGGATGGGGGCGGGAGAGAACTGAACATTTACACAGCCTTAATAACTAAATATATTTTTTCAGTTTTTCACTTCCTTTTAGTCCAGCTTCCATTCTTTTCAGGAGACTCACTTTCAGTTTCTCAAAGAAATCTGCAGACACACCTCCAAAGTTCAGTCTTAGAAGTTGGTTGATCATTTTCTGAAGTAATCAAACACATTCAGTGATGTTGAGGTCTGGACTCTGGGGTGGTCAGTCCATTGTTCAGCTTCTTTGTTTGATGTGTCTGTCTCCTTTTCTCAGTGAGGCTTCTTGACAACTACACACTCTTTCAGACCCATAGCGCTGAGTTGTCTTCTCCCAGTGGAAGGATGGACAGAAACACCTGTGGATGTTTTCAGATCTGAAGCAGCTTGATTTTCTCCTCTCTCAAAGATGAAAGCTTTAAGTGCTGTTTATCTGATGGGGACAGTGTTGGGGTCTACCAGGTCTTCCAGGTGGTTGTTAGGAGTCTCATTTTCTCTTTAGCTATTAGTCACTGATTTAAGTCATCAGTTTTGGAAACTCTTGGTTTTCTGCTTTGTTATGCATGTGGATTATTTTACATATAATCTCAAACATTTCCTGAAAACTAAATAACTTGTACGTAATGGCCGTTTTGGCTGAAAATGAAGTAAATCAAAGATGGTCTGACTTTTGCTCAGTACACAACCTCCTCTAAGTTGATGGATGTGTTTGCTTATCTACAGCAGAGATGCCAATAAGGTTTCCATTAAGATCAATATAAAAATTGCTGACAACGTATACAAATCTGTAATCATATACAAAACAATGACATTTTTATTTATTTGGCTGTTTAAATTGATCCTTGACCCAAAAAGTCTCAAACGCTCATTCTGTTTATCAGACAGGAGTGGAAATGTCACACACTGAAAGAAGTGCTGCACTGAATTTGCTTGATTGAAATGTGTACATCATTTCCACGTGGGTTAACTACATTACTTCAACACAGTGTTGTCTTTCAGTTTACTCTATCCCTAATTGTGTTGATTATATTTTACTCAAGTGGAAATGAAGTACACGTTTGAATCAAATACATTCAGTGCATTACAACATGTAACCCCAATTCAAAAAAAGCTGGAATATTAGGTAACATGCAAATAAACACAGAAAGCAGTGATTTGTAAACTGTCTTTTACAGGTATTTTATTAAAAGCAGTACAAATAAGGGATATCTGATGTTTTACCTTATCAGCTGTTTTGTTTTTTGTACGTTTATGCTGGTTCCAAAATATGCCTGCGACACATTCAAAGTTGAGACAGGAGAAATGTAAGGCTGAAGTTCGTGGGATGATAACAACACCTGTTTTGAAACTTTCCACAGGTAAACAGGTGAATAAGTAACAGGTGATACTATCATGATTGAGTATAAAAAGAGCATTCACATAAGTTTCAGTCATTTATGAGCAAGAATGGGTCAAAGTTTGGCAGTTTGCAAAAACTGTAAGCAAACGTTTCTCAACACACAATTGCAAGGAATTTAGTGACTTAACCATCCACAGTTCATGATATTAAAAGATCCAGAGAAATTGGTGTGTAAAGGACAAGGCCAAAAATCACAATTGAATGACCGTAACCTTCGATCCCTCAGACGGCACTGCTTTAAAAACTGATATGGTTCAAACTCTGCTGTGCAAAGCAGAAGCCGTATTTAAACATAACCCTGAAACGCCACCGACTTCTCTGGGCCAAAACTCATCAGTTTTCCAGGCCAATTAGGAAAAAGACAATCCTGATTGTTGCCAGCATCTGGGGAAACACTGGGGGTAACTTGGTAACTTCCACATCTGTGAAGGCACCTTTAAAGCTCAGTGTTTTTTTCTCCTCAGTCTACACACAATACTCCACAATGATGAAGCAAAAAACAGCTTACTGAAGTGTTTTGTAAATTTATTAAAAATAAAAGACTGAAATATCCCATTTACATAAGTATTCAGACCCATCACTTAGTACTTGTTTAAAGCACTTTTGACAGCAATGACAGCCTTAAGTCATGTTGGAAATGATCCTGCAAGCTTGGCACACCATTCTTTTGGACATTTCTCTCATTCTACTTGGAAGCTTCACTCTCTAGAGATGCTCTATTGGGTTCAGGTCATGCCACATAATGCATGTAGCTTCGTATGAACACAGTGCAGGTGCTAGACTGACCTGCCTGCAGTCCAAAACTGTCGCCCATTAAAAGTGTGGTGCATTACACAGCATACAACAACGGAAAACCCAGACTACTGAGCAGCTGAAGCGTTATATGAAGCAAGAATGGGAAACATTCCACTTTCACCACTACAACAATCATTGTTTTCATTTCTCAAACAATTACTAAACTGTGTGAAAAGGAAAGGTGATGTCACACAGTGGTAAACATGCCCCTGTCCCAAGGTTTTTGGAACACGTTGCAGGCATCAAATGTAGAATAAGCTTATATGTACAAAAAACAAATAAAGTTAATTAATTGAAACATTAAATATCTTGTCTTTGTACTGTTTTCAATTGAATACAGGTCAAAATGGATTTGCAAATCACTGTTGTCTGTATTTATTTACATTTTTCTTACTGTTCCAACTGTTTTGGAGTTGGGTGTGTCCTATGCTAGCAACAAGACTACCAGGGCGTGCACTTTTTCATGTTCAATCTGGCTCCAGCTTCATATTTATCAAGCAACTCAGAGTAAGAGCACTGATCTAAGATCAGGTCTCATAAGGTCAAGGAATTTTAATTAATGTTAGATGAAAGGCATAAGCTGGTCCTAGATCAGTATTATTACTCCAAGTCTGATAAACGTGAGCCATTGTCAGTACCTGTGATCAAACTACACCAGAGTGGTTTTACAGCATCTTTCACTAACAAGAAGAGAAGTTCTTGTACCTTTTACATCATTTATATAGTCGCACTGTTTGGTTAAAAAAGGGACAGAGGTTTCTCTGACTTTACAGTGTGTCACATAAACAAGTCTTTACTCAAACATGTGTAAACATCTGAAACAAGCACGTAAAACCCTTCCTAGTCACAAATCTTCCGGTGTCTAGAGAATGAGAAGTGAACATAATGGTAAAATGCTGTATGAAGAAATGTATGTTTCTAAACATCCTGTAAACAACAAACAAGCTTCCTATGTGGGTCAAATAAAGGGTATGTAGGTTTTGCTTACCTGCACAGTCCATTCTTATAACAATGAAATTTAACAGCTTACATACTTATACGGCTTATATACATATACTGCTAAGGACTGGCTACCTGTCCAGAGTGTGTATGTGTGTGTAGGGCCAATTTAGCATCTCCAATTGGCTTGATTGCATGTCTTTGGACTGTTGGAGGAAACCCACACAGACACAGGGAGAACCCCGGTTGCCCATCTGGGGAATCAAACCCAGCCCCTTCTTCACCGTGCCTCACAGCACCACTGTGCTGCCCCACATGCATATACAGACCAATTTATTAGAAACCACTCTCTAGTAGCTCCACCCTGCTTGTGTGAGTGATGATTCTGGATGGGATAAAATATGACCTTCTGAAAAGCTTGAGCTTGTTTTTGTACATGCCACACCAGACAGGTCCATTTTCTGAGGGGTTTTAATAGGGATGGTGTGACTTTATCCAACTTCAGTCTAAAACTCAGTTCCCCAAACCAAAAGCTCTGAATAGTTATAGTGAATTTAAACATTTTCAGGTCGTCGCAGTCAGAGCAAACCTTGTAACTCATTTTTTTTCCCCAAAGTGTCCCAATCCTACATTTTTCTTGTTTTTCTTCTTCCCCCTCAAGTCCACTTCTAACATCTATGTGGGCTTTTATACGTCGTCATAATTCAATTTTACATTTTACAATTTTACATTTCCCAACCTCTGTTTATTTGTTGAACAGCCTGCTCTTGTTAGTGTCTTTCAGAATGATATATGTAAATGAAATCTGTTTTGATTAGTTACCCTGTTCTATGCCTCATTCAAAAAGCATTCCAGGTTGAAACACCCCTTATAACAGTGTGAGTGGGCGGGGCTAAACTGCTGTAGGCTGAATAGGTGAATATATGTAAAACGTGTTAGTTTTCCTAACCGATTCATCAGAATCATTTGCGTCCAACTTTTTTTGCAAAAGTTAGCAACTTTAATGAAGGCTTAGCTCTGCCCACACTTGACAGAGCCATATATTTCCTTACGTATGTTTATGCTCCTTATAGCTTCAGTGTGTATGGGTTGAGCTAAACTGAATATTTGTAAATGTGTTGATTTTCATGCCATCACAAAAAACAATAAGCTGTATTTGCAACTTACTTTGTATATATGGACTGGGGAGTGAATGGCAAGTTTTTAAATTTTGGTAATGTTTACGTACTGCATTAAAGTCTAATTTAAACTTAAAATATCTGGTTTTCCATGATATGGGCCCTTTAACACCATGTGAAAACACCAGCTGTTCATTACACATGTAACATTAAAAGTTAAAGCCCTCCTGAAAAAGTACTGATTTATGATACAAAGTCTTGTTCTGACAGTGACGCAGTGACGATATATACAGCAAAACAGCTAGCACTGCAGTGTCGTTTAGCAGCTCCTCTGTGTATCTGCATAGTTAAAAGTTAAGACACATAAGTGGTGATGTAAATTCTGTAACAAGTGATCTAAAAAATGAAAAAAGCAGAATAAAAGTCGTAGCACAGAGGTCAGAGAACAGTCGGTCATAAATACACAGACGCAGAAGGCGAATTTTCAGTTTTGCTGACTTCATGTGACCAGAGGGGTAAATATCTCTCCATCCCACAGAGTCCAGTGCTTTACAGCCTGCATCAGCACAGCTTTCAGGACTATAAAGAAGGGCCAAAGGTAAGATGACTGAGACCGTAACAGAGCGAGCGAAACCATGGAAACAGCCGTGACTGGACCATGGCCCTCAATAAACCACAGCCGCTGTGCTACACCATGGTCACTCCAGTTTTTACCAGTGTCCAGCTCAGCACTTCATTCCTCAGGCATTAGGGTCCTTCGTTAGAGGCCAGTGTTGTTGGTAATTACTCATCCAGCCCCGAACCACCTGAGAAAAACACAACAAATGACAGTGTTCATGATCATTGTATATTATTGAGAATGATGATGCTTCACCTGAGAGCTAATGTTGTACCGTACAGGGAACCAGCTGACTGTATTCCACAAGTTTTGGAGTATGTCTGTGGGAATCTGTGCTCATTCAGTCAAAAGAGCATTTGTGAGGTCAGACACTGATGTTGGATAAGCAGGCCTGGTTTGCTAACGTTAAAGTTTATCCCAAAGGCGTTCAGTAAGGTTGAGGTCAGGGCTCTGTGCACTGGAGTTCATTCACAACATAACTCATCAAATCATGTCTTTATGGACCTCGCTTTGTGCACGGTCACACTGGAACAGGTACCAACAACCACCTAGGATACCATAGCAAAGGCCTAGCTACACCTTAGCAACCACTAGGTTTTTTTATTGGCCAAAAGTATGTGGATACCATCACACCTATATAAGTTTATTGGACATCCTATTGCTGAGGTGCGGCTAGACCTTATCAATGGCCTAGCTACACCTTAGCAACTACCAGGGACACCATCACAATGGCCTGGCTATATCTTGGCAACCACCAGGGATACCTTTGTAATGGCCTGGCTATATCTTAGTAACCACCAGGGATACCATAGCCATGGCCTAGCTACACCTTAGCAACCACCTGGGAAACCATACCAATGGCCTAGCAACTCCTTAGCAACCACGTTGGGCACTGTAGCAATGGTCTAGCTACACCTTAGCAACCACTAGGTTTTTTGTATTGGCCAAAAGTATGTGGACACCAGACCATCACACCTATGTGAGCTTATTGGATGTCCCATTGCTAAGGTGCAGCTAGACCATAACAATGGCTTAGCTGTACCTTACCAACCACCAGGGATACCATAGCAAAGGCCTAGCTACACCTTAGCAACCACCTGGGACACCATAGCAATGGCCTAGCAACTCCTTAGCAACCACGTTGGACACGACACCTTAGCAATAACCTAGCTACATCTTAGCAATCCTGTAGACAACACAGTCATGGCCTTGTAACAACTTAGCAACCATCAGGGATACCATAGCAATGGTCTAGTTACACCTTTGCAACCACCTGGGATGCCATACTAATGGCGTAGTAACTCCTTAGCAACCACCTGGGACACCACAGCAATTGCATGGCTACACCTTAGCAACCACTAGTTTTTGTATTAGCCAAAAGTATGTGGACACCTGACCATCACAACTATATTAGCTTGTTGAACGTCCCATTGCTGAGGTGCATCTAGACCCTAGCAATGGCCTAGCTGCACGTACCTTGGTGTCCTCCTCCCTCCACAGCGTCTCCTGCTCAGCCTCGCTCAGCTCCTCTGAAGGGTCGTATGTGTAAACTGGAAGCAGCTGGTGCCGCAGCCTATCAATCCTGGAAAAATCAATCCTGAGTGAATTTACTACATTTCCTCATTTATGCAAAGCTGGTTTACTTAACAATGCTGTACAGAACTTCCAGCGAAGCAGGAGATCATATAATCAGTTGTTTGACTGAAACCAGTTGACTAAATAAGTGGAATCAGTTGAGCTCCTGCATGTTTGGAATGAAAACCTGCAGCCACACAGGCCCTTTGAGGGTAAGACTGGACACTGTGTAATAAGGCATTTTACCGTTTTACTTACATACTTACATATATTACATTGTATTTAACTCTGGTAAAAGCCGCAGAAGTTTGCTGTGTACATTTTGCATAGAATCATAATAATCTGATAATGTTCAAAATCATCTCAGATTACATTACCATAGATGTGACAGTGAATACCGTGGGCTATATTAGCACTGTTTCTTCTTGATGTCATCTTTCTGCCTCTGCTGCAACACAACATGTTGATGCAAGGCACTGTTGCAAACAGTGCGGAAGCTTTAGTTTTGCTGTGAAGTTTGTGTAACTGTGTAAAGTGCCGCTTCTGTATGAAAAACATGCCACCGTTTCGGCTGGACTTTGTGACCTAAAAGCAGTGACTTGGCTTGGTGCTTCTTATTTAGAAATCAAATTAACCAGGTAGTTTCAGTTTTAAAGTTCTGCTCATATTCTCTTGTAGACTGGCATAGTGGCCAAGTGAAACAATCAGCTATGGTTGTGACCTGTTGTTTGGTCAATGCCACAACCACAAGGGTAGAACAGACTGTGCTTTCATTTGATGGAAAGCAAGGCTCACTTCCTCGTCGATCTGAAGCCATATTAGACAAGTGTGTAGTGAAGTGTGGTGTTGATAATAAGCTGTATCAGAGCTGGACTAGTTTTGCTACAGGAGCTTGAGTAATGTAATGTAAGCCTGACAAACTGGTTCAAGATCAAGTATCTGTGAAATCTCCCCAAATTAGACCTTCCAAAATTTCACATCACCATTACGCCCCAGAACACATTTCATAACAATAGCAACACACGCGGCCATGTCTGTTAGCAAGTTTTGTTATTCCATTAGTGTGAGGTGGATTAGAACAGAACTACTATTACTGACTACAAAAACTACACACACTGCAGATTCATACAGAATCAAAATCACTCCACAGTTATTACTGTCAGACTACAAAAAATACACACACTGCAGATTCATACTGGATTAAAATTACTCCACAGTAATTACTGTCAGACTGTTAAAACTACACACACTGCAGATTCATACTGAATTAAAATCACTCCACAATTATTACTGTTAGACTGTAAAAACTACACACACTGCAGATTCATACTGAATTAAAATCACTCCACAATTATTACTGTCAGACTGTAAAAACTACACACACTGCAGATTCATACTGAATTAAAATCACTCCACAATTATTACTGTCAGACTGTTAAAACTACACACACTGCAGATTCATACTGAATTAAAATCACTCCACAATTATTACTGTTAGACTGTAAAAACTACACACACTGCAGATTCATACTGAATTAAAATCACTCCACAATTATTACTGTCAGACTGTAAAAACTACACACACTGCAGATTCATACTGAATTAAAATCACTCCACAATTATTACTGTCAGACTGTTAAAACTACACACACTGCAGATTCATACTGAATTAAAATCACTCCACAATTCTTACTGTCAGACTGCAAAATCTACACACACTGCAGATTCATACTGGATTAAAATAATAGATCTAGTTACACTCTACAAACACCCTAGCTAAAACTATTCCAGCTCCAATATAGCTTAGACTTTTGGTCTCTAGTCCTTTTTAAATATTGATCTACATTTTCAGATGTAGTATTGTCCATGTGGTGATTTTTTTATGTCTCTGCCTACACACTGAAGAGTACTGGATTTGTCAGACAGACAAATTGCCAAAACGATTCTTCTCTTCTCAGCAATAGGTAGTAAGACGGTCTCTGCTAGAACGCTTCCTCAGCTGTTTCTCTATTTTAAGATGACAGTCATTTCTGATGTGATATTTCCCTTTTTCTCTGACCAATTCATTGTAATTCGTCTGCTTCTTTGACTGGCTTCTTCAGGTCCTCGTTTTGTTTGATACCAGCAAAAAAACTTCAAACTTGGTTTAAACTGGCTCGTTTATGGTGTTTGGCCTGCGTGCTCAGATAAATATACCTGAAAACACCTGACATAAAAGCCCATGAAGTCTGTCCAGACACAGGAAAGTCCTGTAAGTCTGATATAGCTGAAAACATTGCAAGCATGCCTTGTAATCTCCTTTGCTGGCCCCATTCCAGGGATTCATACCGGCGATTTAACGGTCTCATATTTGTTATCGTATATAACTGGAAGGTTTCTATGATAATAATGCATGTTTTAAATTCTCCTACTGCTCTCTATTACAGTGAGAAACAGAGCCTGATAGACACACCCATTTCTACATTTTTCAGCTGCAAGCTTCAAGTTCCTTGAAAGGCTTTTAAAGGCTTCCTTGTTTAATAAAGCAATAAGCCACGAGAGGCCATGCGTTACTGCGATTTTATCATGGGAAAGGTGTTCTTAGGCACGACAGGAGTCAGAGTGTCTAAAACTCCCTTCCCTGTGCTGAAATCGCAGTAATGCACTGCCTTGAGTGGCTTATTGTAGTTTCTTTAGAGTATGTAGTTTCTTTAGAGTACTGTATTGTTGCTAAGCAACCATGGACAGCTGAATGAGGAGAGCGTTCAGTTGCCTGTATTTTGCATTTCATGAATTTGTAAACTTTTTGTTATATAACAATGAACATACGATAACACAGCACTGTTTAATGCAATACTTTTGCTTTACACTTACTTTTTTATTACCACAAGGAGTCTTATTTAGCACCACTCCAGTGGCGCCCCTCTTCTTGTGCTGGGGCTGAATCTCAAATAGCTACCTGCTCCCTACATAGTGCACTACGTAGGTAAATACTGTATCCTGCACCCCAACAGTGCAAAATACAGATAAGAAATGGTCATTTGTGACTCAGACACATCCATACTCAATAAATGATGCACTATTTGGCTGTAGAGGCTACAATTTCTAAACTTTCATAGTTAACACAATATTTAGGGAATACAGAGTCGTTTGGGATTCAGCCTGGGTTTGATGCTACTTCTGACTGAAACATAAACATTTGAAGCAAGTAATCCATTCAAGTGACATTTTTGGACTTTTATACTGCAGTTTTACAGGTTTTTTTCATGCCGTGGCGTAGTAATACGCAATTCAGTTGCTGTGAGGCGGTTATAGGTGTGCGTATATTGTGAATTTTACAATGGCTTCGAACGCGGCTCAGCCAATCAGACTGCAGGATCGGATCTATGTGTTTTATAAAAGTATTTTGGAATCACTGAAAAGCTCTACATGGTCTGTCGTTATTTATTTAAGTCCTTTTTTCCTGTTTGTGTTTTAAAAAAATAAGTCTGAATACTCTGTTAATTGTGAAAATAATCATGACTCATTTACTATTAGAATTGTGTTGTAGTCTTAACAAATTCTTCATGCTACTTCTAGCGCCACTTCACATTTCTGTGCCTTTTATCAACACCACTTCTCTCAGCCCACTCAAACTACATCCAGGTGTTCAATATGATCACAAAGACTTGTCAATGTGTTTTTAAAAGAGAAACAACTGATATCCAGTGAAGTTTTGTTAATTTGTTCAATAAGTCATACTGTGTCCTACACCATGTCCAAAGGTCTGTGCGACCTTAATGAAGACGTGGATGCCATTTGTGAGGGTTGAGAGAAGTTTTTGGGGATGTATTTGCAGAAAAGAATTTGGGTGACTATTGACTTCTACTGTTTGTTAGCAACGTTAGCCTCTTAGCTCCAGCACTGAACTAAAAAAAGCAAAATCTGGACACCAAACACATCTTGGCTGATCGACTACATCAGAGTAAGTGGAAAACTGCGTACATTTGATTTTTTTTTAAGAGTAACTGCTGACGTGTCTAATTATGTTGCTACTGCGTTTAAATGATGGATGAATTGCTAAAGAGGTAAATTTACCTTTGCTTCCTCCTGAAGTACATCACCTGCAAAACAGAGCATGTGATAACGTAACCATACATTCACAATCACTTTTGATATCATAATTACAGCCTGTAAGAATTGCAAGAATTATTTTTCATGTGAAATCTTTGCCTAAAATGGAAGAACAGGAAAAACTGGGAGAAAAAAGATGCTTAAGTCTTCCTGTTAAGGAGCAGTTGCTTGAAGGCATAGTCACAGCTGAATATAAAAGCTCCCTTTTCTTCCCTCCAATTAGGTTACTCATTTGAGTCATTCCATCATGTGATATTGCATTCTTCACTTTAACTCCTACATTTCCATGCACATGAACTCCATAGGGAACAGTGTATACAGTTAAATACAACAATAAAGGCTGTACAATCAAGAGACTGGCCTGTTCCGTCACCTACCGCTGCTACAATAATCCCAATTAAAGTGATGAGGAAAAAAGGGAGCAGCACATAGCTGACCGACACGTTGTCGCTGATGATGTGCGGGGGCTGGGTGGTCGTATTCATTTCTCGGCAAAGAGCTGAAGGAGTTTTTTGGCCGTGGAAAGCCTTGGCTCGTCCGCTTTGCTGCCAGCTGTTTGTGCCTCATCCTTGGTATTCACATGACTCCCTCATGCTTTCTCCTTGTCCACTAATCAGTGTGAAAGAAAAGGGGGTTGGTATGAGCTTTTATGGAGGAATAAGTGTTAAGGCAACACTTAGGCCAGTTCACACTGTTTCACCCCCCCTTATCTCTGCTGCAGTCAATCCAAAGAAATGCTTAGTGTCTTATTTAGTTTGCTTATTTAGATTTGCACTGGCAGTACAAGGCTAATGTAGCTAATACATAGTAAAAGCTTATACCCTACTAATAAACTGCCATTGTCAAAATAATGGACAAAAGTTTTCTACGTAGGAGCTACTACTGTTTTTAGCTATGCGGACAGTATGTCATACAGTGTCTGAAACCACATACTGAATTCTATTAGAGATTAATTAAATGGGAAAGGCAGAATTTCTGCATAATTAAACAGTTCACACCAAACCAGTGTGGTTTGGTGTGAAATGCTCCGTTCTATAGAAACATACAGGGTCAGAATGGTTCAATAGTGATGATAGGAACCAGACGTCCACCCCTAAAAGCTGCCTCACACAAAGTTATTACATGAAATGGTTATAAATACTAAAATGGTTGGGAGTACTAAACTGTACTTTTTTTATCCATTCCTGGCCGAGAGGTACGTGCTGGTAAAACAGTCCCCAAAGAAAACATATTATTTCGGATTTTCCATTATTTTATCTCATCAACATTCCATATAAAAGCTCAAAAGACACGTGTAGGTTTACTGGTGGTTTTGGGTAGTAAATATAATGGCTATATTTGTGTTGTAGACATGGTGACCTCTGGTTCCTATCACCACCACTGTGAAGAAACCTGAGTTGACAAATTTCTAAACAATGTGGCATTTCATATCAAAACACTGAACTGTGCAAAGATGTTTAAAAAATCAGTGGAATTTCCTTTTAAAAGGGTATTCCAGCCTACAACTAGCATTTAATGTTAGCATCGCACCCCTCTCCCTCATCAGTCTGACAGAATTAAAAATTTTGTACCATTTTTGTGTTTTTGTTCATCAGTGTTCTCTCAATACAATGCCCAACATGCATTATGTACAACGCTCAACATATCCTAACTGCAAACCGTTGATATAGAGGCTAATACACATCTGTGGTACAAGCTAGTATTAGTGATATTGCGCTAACCTTTTAGTTACATTAATAATTCAGCTAAAGAATTAGCAAACTAGCGAAAGCATACCCAGCTGCATGTATCCACCCCAAAACATTTCCAAAATGTACTTCCACCGTCAAGATATATCATCAGAAGGAGGATTCTTTTTTATAACCTCGCTCTAAAGACTACTAGGATTGGAGTATGTGTTTCATGGTTTCATGTGCTATGCTGGTAATGCTAATTGATGGAGTATTAGCTTCGATTACTTCTTAACTGCATTAGCCTCAGAGTTCCAGTGTAATGCTAAACAGGGAAACATCAGACACCAACTATATCTTGGCTGATCGACTACATTTAGCAGGCATTTTTGGTAAAATTACCGCAATAAGTGTCGCTTCCTGCTGAGAAAAATCATAAAAACCGTTTCTGGTGACTCCTGGTAGTGTCCAATAGTCAGTAATGGTATTAGTGTTTTTCTGATGGGTTGATATCACAGTGTAAATGATTTTAATGTTTTAACAGGTTTTTTTAAATTCCAGATGCATTTGATGGCTTCCTAACAGCACACGCTTAAAAAAGACAATGCTAGTAGGAAACTAGCATTCTATACAGAACCATTTCATGCCTAAATGGTTCTCTGCATGGTGCAATGGCTCTTCAGACTGATGGACAAGGTGTTCTGTTTTTGAAAATGGTTCTATCAAGCACCAAAAAGGGTCTCTGTCAAGCTTGTAACAGAAGGACCCTTTTTGGTGATGCTGTATAGAGTCATGTATAACACATTCTCCATCTGTCTGAAGAACCATTTCATCATGCAAGTAAAGCATGGAATGGTTCTACATGGAAATCATGGTTCTAAATAGAAGGCTTCTAAAGAACCATTGTTGATATGTGTATAATTATAACTTTTTTAGCCTTACAAGACACAAGATCAAACATACACTGTCGAAATGTGAAAAAATGTTCACTGTATTCTTTGCTGTGCACCATCATAATGTCATTGTACTTGTTTATTTGTATTTTAATATGAAGTATTCACTGTGTTGTCTTCACCACATTCAACAGCACAAGCTATGTGGTGCTCTATTTATCCTGGAAGTAGGAAGACTTTTTTGTTAAGCTGAAATAAACCACACAATAAACATGAATCAAAAACCTAATAAAAGTGAGAGAAATAAAGGTTGCACAATTTGAGTTGTAGTATATGATGTTCTTCGTTGTGTGCTACTTATGTCAACAGCAGCGTTAAATCTGAGCTCAAACAAGGCCCACAGAAAGACAGTCAATATTTACATGACTTTATTTAACCACGGTGCAGTGCTGTGCTCATCACTGATAACTTAAAGCAGCTAGTAACTACTTACATTTACTCAGTCCCATGTATTCATGTACAATTTTGGTGGATTTGCACTTTGAGTATTTTTAAATGATAATAGTAATACAAAAAGAATTTCTACTTTAAAAATTCATAAGATTTTGAATAATTACTACAGAACACTACAGTGGCACTATGGATTAAGACAATTCTACAGAAATAAAGGAGAAGGTAAGCATATTCTACATTATAGTGTATTATAGTACACACTTAAAATGATGATTCTTTGAGGGTTGTTTAGTATAGAAAAATTGTTTCTATTTAGAACCATGAACTCTCAAAAAAACCCTTTGTATGATTAAAAGGTTCATTGTGAAAGGGTCTTCAGTTTGATGGACAATGTGCTGTTTTTTGAAAAGGGTTCTATATAACACCAAAAAGTGTTCGTCTATTACAAGCTAAACATTATAACAATATATAGAAACGCAAGTAACATATTCTCCATCACCCTTTCATGATGCAAAGAACCATTTGTTCATGCAAACGGGTTCAAAAGGTTCTTTGAATTTTCATGGTTCTACATAGAACGATTTTATTTACTGAAGAACCCTTGAAGAACCATCTTATATATAACCATCTATACTATATAATTACTATATATATTTTTTGTAAGGAGATATTAATCTACTTCTTCCTCAGCTCCTTTTTTATCATTAACTTTTAGTTAATAATTCCTTTTTTGAGATTAATTTCATTCTTTGTGTTGGTTCAGCTCCTGTTCTGCCTTAATGTTGATCACATGTCTCACTTTGGAGCTTCAGCATTTCAGTTTAGAACAAAAACATTCAAAAGAAAAAGTACAGAGCTGTAAAAACTTCATCTGCTCATAGATGCTGGATGTTTTGGTGGCTAATTTTACTTCTGCTTTAGTCATTTTATCACTACACACTTACAAAAGATGGTTCTTCAAGGGTTCTTTAGTAAAGGGAATGGCCCTAAATAAAACTATGAGTTCTACATAGAACCATTATGCTTAAACAGCTCTTTGCATGGTGATTTCAGATTGATGGAGAAAGTGTTCTGTATAGAACCTACAGCATTAAAAAGGATTCTTCTATTGTGATGATGTCAAGCTTGTAACAATAGAAGAACCCTTTTTGGAGCTTTATAGAACCACTTTCAAAAACGTTCTATATAAAACCATATCCAACACATTCTCCATCAATCTGTGTATGTTATATAGAACCAGTTGTTTACGGTTCTATACAGAACCTTTTTGAAACTGGTTCTATATAGCACCAACAAGTGTTCTGGTATAGTTACGATGCCAAGCTTGTAACAACAGCAGACCCTTTTTGGTGCTATATAGAACCATTTCATGCTTAAACAGTTCTTGGTGAAATGGTTCTTCGGACTGATGGAGACTGTGGTGTATATGGTTCTGTACAGCATCAAAAAGGGTTCTGCTGTTGTTATAAGCTTGACATCGTCACAATATCAGAACCCTTTTTCGTGCTGTCTAGAACCATTTTCAAAAAGATTTAAAGTAGAACCACATACAACAAATTCTCCATCAATCTGAACAACCATTTCACCATGCAGAGAACCATTAAACCATGAAATGGTTCAATATAGAAATGGTTCTAAACAGAACAATTCCCTTACTAAAGAACCCTTGAAGAACCATCTGTGTAGTGAAATACTGACCGTGTGTGAGCTGCTGCTGTTTCCTCTCCAGTCCTGATCAATACTGTGAGATCAAGCTGATCAGCAGCATCTCTCCTGTTTAAAGTTAACGCAGTTGAGACCGTGACTGACTGAATGCATGTGACTCACGTGAATTACAGGGCGGTGATAGTGAAATTTCCAGCAGCACTGCAGCTAAAAACAAACAAAAATCAAACCAACAGCAAAAAAACACAATCCGAATATTTCCGGAAACCTCCAGAGCTTTAACCCCAGCCTGCTCGCGCCGAGTCGACGGGAAAATAAAAATCGAAAATAAAGATCACGGGTCTTCCAGACAGCAGCTCAGCAGATCCACACACCACCTCCTGGCCCCACCTTGCCTTGCAGATGCCATAGAGATCGGGCTATATGTTCCGCACCACTGATTGGCTGACAGTGGCCGCCCGCTCTGCTGTGATTGGCTGGTAGCGTTCCGCCTCATTGTTACTGGGCTCTGCACCTAAACAAGGAAATAAGAAAGATAGTTATGCCAAGATATTACTCGGTTTACTATGGAAGCCCTTTTTCTGCCACTGGGAAAAAATATAGTGCTTTAGTAAGTCATAATAATGAGAAAGCTTTTCATAATTCTGGCTTATTATCTCATAATAATGAGAAAATTTATGAGATAGTAAGTCATAATAATGACATAGGAAGTAATCATTATGAAAAAGTAAGTCATTATTATGACATAGTAAGTCATAATTATAAGAAAGTAAGTCATAATTATGAGATATTAAGTCGTAGTGTTTTAATGTTTTTGGAAAATTAGGGAATTTATAGCAACATACAAAACAGTGTAATATCAATAAAAAAAAACAATCAATAAAAATCAATAAAAATTCTCCCTTTTTGGGGGAAAAGGAAGGGAAATTGTAGCAGAACAGCGTTTATTATCTTCTATTATTGATAATGCTTGCCATTTTGAGAAATGAGTGATTTATTTATCTATTCATGTATTTATTCATATTATTAATACCATCATAATAACCGTTAGAACTACTAGTAACACTAATAATAACAATAATAATAACCAATAGCACCTTTCATAGGCAGACATGCAGCGCTTCGGCGCTTCACAGGAGTAAGAATAACAAACATAAATGAAAGAACAACGAAAATTAAAAAGAACGTTTTCATTGCACGTATTTTTCCCATTATTTATTCCTGTACTTACTCTACGTGTTTGTTTGTACTCGAAAAAAGTAGCTAGTACTCATCACCTGTGCTCCGATTGGCTAGTTCGGGCAGTATGCAGAGTTAGAACGCCACGGCGCGCTGGGATTGGCTAATGCTGACTGCAGTAGAACCAGTTTAGCCATATAACGGAGCTGCTTGACTGAAAACAGGTGGGAAAAACAGCTCTGAATACGAGACAGACTGATTTTATAAACCACCTATTTTCCACTGTTTCTAAACTGACATTTGAAGTTTTGTTTTTTCAACCCCATCTTGAATTTTATAAATTATTAAAGAATAAACAAACAAACAAACAAATGACATAAAAACGAATTATTTAGCTTTAACTGACACCCAGTGATCATTTTGTCGCCTGTAAAAACATCGAGATAGAAAATGACACAAACTTGGTTTTTATGATATTTAAGACGAGATGTGTTTTTAACATAACATGAAATATGAAGAATATGTATCACTTTCAAGCTGTGTGTAAATAACTTTAACATTGCGTAATTTAATACACAGTGTTTACGTTAATATATTAAATGACTCAAACTAGATCAACTTAAATCTTCTACGGTATTTAAGATGCAATATTTTGTTACATACATGACATGAAATATAAAGAACATCATGCTGAAAAGTTTCCAAGCTGTGTGAATGAACGACGTCAATACTGTATAATTTATATAAATAATCGGCCGCTGGGTGTCACTGTAGCACGAATAAAAGCCAACGGCGTGCTTTTGTTATCGTTTCAGCAAAATCTTCATATTCCGTCACCCTGTCCTCCTCTTTCCTGGAATTATCTCCCAAATGTACTTATTTATTCATTTATTGGAAGTAAAAATATAAATACACAGAACAGCCAGGGGCAAATAACACAAACAACACTGACAGGTTTTTTTATAGCTAGAATGAATGATGGCTTTAAAAAAAAAAATTGGCATTACTTCAGCCACACGTACGAACATGACATTTAGTTAAGGTTAATAATATCATACTGTTTATCTTTCTTCTTACTGATAGTAGGAAACATAAAAAGTAGAATAAAAAAGTAGGAATAAAACATAAAAAACCTACATCAGTTACAAATCTGGCCACATCTTTGCATAACTTTGAGATGTACACGTTTGAAAAAGATGGTTCTTCAAGATTTCTTTAGTAAAGGGTATGGTTCTATTTAGAACCAAGAGTTCTATATGCCATTTCTTGCTTAAATGCTTCTTTGCACGGTCAAATCATTCTTCAGATGGATGGGAGAACGTGTTTAATATGGTTCCACATAGCACCAAAAAGAGTTGTGAGAATGTTAAGCTTGTAACAATAGAACCCTTTTGGTGCTATATAGAACAGTTTTTGAAAAGACTCTACACAGAACCGTATACAACACTTTCTATATCATACTGAAAACCCATTTCACCATGCAAAGAACCATTGAAGCGTAATATTGCTCTACACATTTAAAAAAGATGGTCCTTCAAGGGTTCTTTAGCAAAGAACATAATTCCATATAGAACCATAAACACTCAAAAAAGCATTTGTGTGATTAAAGGGTTGCTATAGATGGTTCTATGTAGAACGTTTTTAAAAGGGTTCTATATAGCACCAAACAGTGTTCTTCTATTGTTTTAAGCTCAACATCGTAACAGCAGAAGAACCCTTTTTGGTGCTATATAGAACCCTTTTCAGGAAGATTTTATATAGATTCTCCATCAATCTGAAGAACAATTTCATGATGCAAAGAAGACTTTAATCATGCAAAGCGTTCTTCAAGTGTTCTTGGAACCATTGTTTGTTTTTGTGGAAAACACAAGAATGTGCAGCTCCCGAGTGCTGCATTGTGATTTGGGGTTTGTGTGACTAATAAAAACAATAACAAGTGAGACAAACACGTGTCTGTTCTTCTTTGATTGTGCAATAGACTCTGGAATAAACATGAAGGATGCAATTACACTCCCTGGCCACTTTATCAGAAACACCTCCCTTGTTGCTCCACCACGCTGGTGTCCAGCTAGAGACTGTAGCCCATCTGCCGTCTACTAAGGTACGGTGTGTGTTAGCCATCCTCCAGTCCTTCACCAGTGATCAGTTTCTGACCACAGAGACACTCTTTTTTTGTTTGTTTGTTTGTTTATTGCTGACATTTCTCAAGATTTACAGATCTTCAAGTTTGCTGTATATAAGAAATATATTTTTATATGTAAACTCACAAAAACATGAAAAAACAAAGACCTCTTCAGTGGACATCGCACAGATGTGGGGGGACAGTCGTCTGTCTATAGGTGACGTATCAAACCTTGCCTTGTAATATTGCATGGCTACATAATTATGGAAAAAGAAGACCCCCTACAGGACAGTATACAGAGCAGTGAGGTACACTCTTAAAAAAGATGGTTCTTCAAGGGTTTAGTAAAGAAAATGGTTTTATGTAGCACCCAAAATGGTTCTTCTATTGTTACAGACTTGACACTGTAGATGGTTCTTTATACAACCGTTTTGAATAGGTTCTACACAGAACCATTTTCTTCATTAAAGAACCCTCGAAGAACCATCTTTTTAAGAGTGTACAGAGAACACACTTAGATCCTTAAAACCTCTGGCTCATTACATTCTAAGGTTTATTATTCAGTAACTACAGGGACTTTAAAGCAAACTGGTTAAACTATTCTTAGATTGTAGAAGTGTATAATAAAACTTCAGGCCTGCCGGTGGGCCCTGGCCATTAAAGGGGTTAAATATGCCATTTTTCTGTGATTTTTTTAAAAAGAATAGAAAAAAATGAAAAAAATGCAATGTGCCATAACTTTTTTGCACTTTTATATTTTATTTTTGAATGGCAAATTTAGCAATTAAAAAAATGTAAAGAATTAGCAACTAAAATTAGCTTTAGCAATTCGAATCATTATGTTTTTCATTATAGTGCATCGCACCATCTGAGCTGTCCAGTCTAAGACTGCAGCCAGTATTCTGTAAGCGTGTTGTTGAACTTTTGGACAGAGTTAGTGAGTTTTCTCAGAATGAGGGTTCCTGGTGTTCCTCTGCCTGATTAACACTTCAAGGCTGGAGAGTAGAAGTTACTGATCACGCACAGCAGGACTGTTTCTCCATCTCTTATTACACTTCACTTTAGTGCACTTTACACTGTACTGCTGAAACAACTGACAGACAAGGCTAATAATAAAATCTAAAAAGTAATAATAAAATAATACAGTATCTCGAAGTGATTTACACAGGAATGTAAGTGAAGCATTAAACATATAAAAACACTACAGTCTAAATCCAATGTGTCAGTGTCCATGTGTTTTAATTTTCTATTAATATTAGCCCATTTCACAATGCGCTGCACTACAATTCCCAGCTTAACGTGGGTTCCGACCCCCCCTCCGCCCCAAGGACAGTCTAACAACAGCGGTTTCCCCACAAAGATTGAAAAATCCTACGTCATCCTATACATCCTACATATATAAATAAATATTTACAAAATTACTTTTGAATACCTCAAGTATTCATTTAATATTTCAAGGTTTACACACTTAAAAAGATAGTTCTTTAGGGGTTCTTTGCTAAAGAAAATGGTTTTATATAGAATTATGAACACTCAAAGAACCCTTTGCATGCATAAATTGTTCTTTGCATCATGAAATGGTTCTTTTACAGTCTGAAATCATGTGCCATATAAATAAATAATGGAGAATGTGCTATGGATAGTTCTACAAGAGCCTTTTTGAAAAGGGTTCTTCTATGGTAACAAGCTTGACATTATAACAATAGCAGAACCCTTTTTGGTTCTATATAGAACTCTTTTCAAAAAAGTTCTATATAGAACCGTCTATTTTGCTGTTGCAGTTTTAAAAATAAAATAAAAACTCGCCCATTTGTTAGATTTGTTGAGATTTTTTAATACGGCTCTTTGAGTGGTTGAGTTTTATACCCCTGGTCTCCATGAACAACAGCAGCACAATTAGAGACCACAAATGAAAATCCAGCCACAAAACTCCACAGTACTCTAGAAACACTGCGCAAAAGTCAGAGGCCCACTTTCATTTACTGTCATATACAAACGTTTCGGCACCCTGGTCAAATGACATGTTGTTGTTGTTTCCTAGATGTAAATAAATTAACACACTCCTGCCTATTTTAAAACACAGT